TCCCCTCCCTTCTCAGAGCTGGGGCTGCCACCCTCCCCCTGCCAGCACACAGGGTGTGACGTCCCCACTGGGCGCACGGCAGTCATGCCGGTGAAGGCAAGGCACTGGCCAAATAGCACAGCCTGAGGGGCTGTCAGGCAGCAAGCTTCCCCAACACCAAAGGTGGCCTGGACAAAGTCTGCACCAGGGACCAGCACGGACACAGCCTGTGGCGAGAAACAGGCCCACCTGCTGCTGCCCTCTAGTGGAGAGAAGGGGCCATGCACCCCCTTGGTAGTCTGCGGCAATAGACAATGGATGGGCCCAGGCCTGCTCCCTGAGCACCGGGGAGCCCCAGCACCTCACATCACTGCTTGGGGGAATCCCTGACTCCTGGCCCCGCTGCTGCAGCAAAGGGATCCAGGCTACGGGGGCTCAACTCACACTTCCATTAGGAGCTTCCTCTTCTTTAGTTCATTCCTGTCCTTCTCCTCCAAGCTCTCGGCCTCCCCCTGCTGCACCAACTGCAGCTTCTCCCGGACCAAATCCTGCACGTTCTCCACCTGGGGGACAGCAGGGCAGCAGTGAGCACCCTGCAGGGGTTGGAGCTGGGTGCAAGGGCACCCCTTGGCCCCAGCAGGACAAGGGAAGTAGGAATGTAATAGCATAGCCGGCTAAATGATCAACAGAGAAGAGGATGCTGGAGCCCCCCCCCCAGCATTGTGCCATTCCTAACAGTGGAATAATCTTGTACATTTCCTCAGTGCCTCTCACCCCAAGGTTCAGCCAGCACCGTGGGATCTGCGAGAGCTGAGGGTTCTCTACTTGGCCCAAGAGGGGAGATTCAAAGGGGGATTTGGTTCCAGCTTGGAAACCTCCCTTCTGATGAAAGCCCTGCCAGGAAACTCACAGCCCGGAAGATGCGCGGCCCCCCGTCTGCATTCTTCTCCAGCCGCACCCACTTGTTGGACATGGCCTTGCTGAACCCCACTTTCCCACTCGGCAGCTTCTGCAATGAGACAAAAGGAACACTTTGGATCCAGGTGAAACTAAAGAGAAACACCCCCACAGAAGGGGGGGGGGCGCTAGCAGATTATTTTTCCCTCCATCCCAGGAGCATTTTACAGGCACTTGGTCAAACATCACAGCCACCCTCACGGGGAAGGCCAGAGTCACCCCAATTTTACAATGGGAAAACCACTGAGAAGGGCGAGGACACATCTAAGAGCAACCCAGGCTCCCAGACCCCACCACACCCCCTTCCTAGAGCCAGGAGTCCTGACTCCCAGGCTGCAGAATGTAGAGCCGCAGCAAAGTTCTGGCAGGAGATGAGGCCCTGGAGACGTGAGGCACAGGGGATGGGAATTCAGCCTCACCATCAGCTCGCTCTGGAGCAGCCCTTCGGCAGGGATGCTGTCAAAGACACGCGCCTCATGGCTTCCCTCCTGGGCAATCTCCTTTCCCTCAGGTGTCAGCTCCCAGCGCTTCGAGGATCTCTGCTCAGCCTGGATGACCTGAGGGAAACACACAGGGGGGCTGTGCAACACAGATTTGGAAAGACTGGATCAGACCCAAGGTCCATCCAAGTCCAGTATCCCTCCTCTGACAGCGCGCAGCACCAAGTGCTTCACAGGAAGGTGAGAGAGCCCCACAGCAGGCAGTGAGGGATAATTTGAACCCATGAGTCTCTCCTGCTTCCTCAGATAGCTGATGCTAAAGTAAGCCACCCAGTCAATCCACCTTCTGCATATTCCCACTATTCCCCTTTGCAGCTTGTTAAGTTGTTGACCATAGCAACATCTTGTAGCAGGGAGTTCCACAGGTTAGTCATATATCAAGCAAAAAGCCTGCAGGACTTGCTGCCACTGGTCACCATTATGACCAATGTAGGAAGTTAGCAAGTGGGTATGTGGATACTGCAACAGACACAGTCAGGCCTGGGCTGCACAGGAACGAGAGAAGTGGCGTGAGCGCCTCAAGGATCAGAGAGCCCCTGGGAATCCCTGG